TCCTAAAAGTCATTTTTCCCTAAATGACTTCACTTTGTGCCTTTTGTGACCTTTGACTATGTCATAAGATGAGGAGTTGACGTTCAGCTACTTTGGTATGTTGCCTGCGGTCATGTATGATTCGGCTTTAAGGGGCATTACTAGGAAAGCGGTCAATTGCAAATTGAATGATATAAGGGTGAAGGGAAGATCATCTGGTTCTACATCTTTGCTCTATATTCACTGTCGACAACTCACATCGCTCTTTATAGGATACTGATTCGGTGTAAATATAATGCGGGACCTAGGAGAGTCAAACATGTTCTTTGAGGGATTAGAGATGTTTTTGGACTGATGTAGCTAGGTGAGTCTGGGTACATGAGACACAATTTCTGTTTTTTTTGGGTTGATGTCTCTATGCTGACTCATATTGAGTTTCTAGTATAGAACTCCCACATGCAGGTGTTCTCAGCGGTCGCACGGTGCATTGGCTAGTATGATACTGCTCATTTTTTGGGGAGATTAAGATAGAGATGTGGCAGTGTCATGCCAACTCATATGCGAGTGGGAGATGTTAGAAATGGGCGCCCATGTGGCATGACCATTTGAATGCTTTGAATTTATAACTGTAACTCCTACATTAATGGGGTTTGTAACTCCTGCATTAATGGGGTTTGTAACTCCTGCCTTTATTGCAGAGGTTAATGGTGCATTAATGACCAGCCATAAAAGCTGGAGGTTTTTCCTCTCTCCCCTATACATGTATAAATTGAGACCCTCCTGTCAAGTCTAAAACACACAGAAATTTCCCATATTCTGATTCTCTCCCAAAAACAACGATCAAAGCCGTTTGCACTGTGATTTGTGTGGGTAATATTCACCGTTGTAATATCACCTCACTGCTGGGTTGACTGATCATATTTAGGAAGCACGTGATTTACCTACGAGTTCTTTTCTATTCAGACTTTGCAAGAAAGGTATGACCATAATTTTTATTCCGCTGCGTTATACTGCTGATTAACATTGTTGCTCCGGAGTCTACAACCCAAAAATAAGGAGAATGAGCAATTAATGCTTGACTAGACACAAAGCATTAAATGCGAGAAATTAAGTAAGGGAGTACCTTCTTCTGCTCAGGGCAATCCCGAGCGAAGTGTCCTTCTTTGTTACAGTTAAAGCATGTCAATTTAGCCTTTGCCTTCTTACCACCTCTCGTGCCCCTACGCTTGAAATTTCTAGCGCCATTGGGCTTAAGCGCAGCTGCTGCTTGCTCCTTAGGGGCACCTTTTGCTTTTCCACATTTGAACTGAGAAGTCCTACGTGAGCTTGACTTAACCACCATAGCAGAACCATCAGACTTAGCCGCCTCAAGGCGCTCAGCCTCTAGCTCCAAATGACGCGATATGTCTTCGAATGTTTTCACACTCTCATTATGCATCATGTTCTGCTTCATCTGCTCCCAAGAATTTGGCAGAGAGGAAATCACAGCTTGTACTTGCTGCTCTTGAGTCAAATTGTGCCCAGCAGCCGCAAGCTCACATATCATGGCTGACATGACCCTCAAATGCTACTTCATCGAGTGATACGCCTTTTCTGATATGAGTCAAACTTCATAGTCAGCCCACGTAGCTTTGCCAAAGAGGTAATACCAAACTTTTGCTTGAGAGCTTCCCACTTCTCAAATGCAGTTGGGCAATGCTCAAACTCACTAATCAAGTCGTTGTGCATGCTGCTCAACATAGTAAAGCACTCACACCGATCTTTGTTAAGCCAAGTCTAAAAGGCTTCAAGATCACGACAATGTTGAGCTGTATTGCCCTGCTCTGGCTCAACCATCACTTGTTCAAGTGTGGTCAACACTTCTTGCTCATTGAGGAGGTATTAGATCTTACGGCGCCATATGTCATAATTGTCGCCATCCAATTTCTCTCCCTTAGTTAAGTCTGCCACCACTGTCTTAGCAGCCATTTCTACATATAGAGTAAACAAATGCGCAGGGAATATTAATGATAGCAACACAAAAAAAATTATTTTGCAGCAAAAAAGAATCTAAATTAAATAATGATAATTTTACACATGTCTCAAGATCGAAAATTTGCTATGCTCGTAATTATCTCTTGCGCCTTTAGTGATAATTATCAAAATTTAATTTAATTCCACGTGCAAAAAACAATCAATCAATCTCCCACTACTTAAGGCACATACAAAGCATGATAAATTCCATACAATAGCATCTTCATGTAAATTTACAAACAATTCATGCTATATAATGTGTACATATATATACATGATTAAGAAAACACGAAAATACCCAACTAGGCTCTGATACCAATGTTAATCAGCAGTATAACGCAGCGGAATAAAAATTGTGGTCATACCTTTCTTGCAGAGTCTGAGTAGAAAAGATCTCGTGGGTAAATTACGTACTTCCTGAATCTGATCAATCAACCCAGCAGTGGGGTGATATTACAACAATGAATATCACCCACACAAATCACAGTGCAAACGGCTTTGATCGTTGTTTTTGGGAGAGGGTCATAATATGGGAAATTTCTGTGTGTTTTAGACTTGAGAGGAGGGTCTCAATTTATACATGTATAAGGGAGAGAGGAAAAGCCTCCAGCCTTTATGGCTGGTCATTAATGCACCATTAACCTTTGCAATAAAGGCAGGAGTTACAAACCCCATTAATGCAAGAGTTACAGTTATAAATTCAAAATATTGAAATGGTCATGTCACATGGGCGCCCATTTCTAGCAATAGTCGATCAGTGAAAATTTAGTGAAGAAGGAATTAAATATTATTGGGAAGAATTCTTTTAAGTATTCGTGCAGGCAAGCATGCTATTGTTCTTCGATCTGAAGGCCTTTGCAGTCAAATGAACACGAAAAACATCATTCCAATGCCTAGTTGCAAGTTGACTTTTTCTAATATTAAATTTTAATTGACAAATTAAATTTGTTTTATTGAGCATTTCAAGTCTAGATTCGATTAATAAGTTGACAATAGTACTCTATTTAATCTTCAAATACAACTTAGACTTTTTTATTATGTGTTTTTAGTCCTGTTTAATATACGTTAAATTTCACATATGCATGTCATAGTTTGAGATTTTTAGATTGTTGTACAATAGCATAGTACGTTTTTTAATGTATTAAAAAAAAAATAAAAAATTAGAACTATAATCGTTGACTACCTGATTCATTATCAAATTGGTCTCTGGTTATGGGCTAACTGATTGCTATCCCGTTAAATATAAAACAGCCCACCAATCTCTTGGCCTAAACCAAATTTAAGGCCACCAAGATACAAATCTCTTTTTACTGAAAATCCACAAAGCCCACAAGTTAGTCAGCCCAAGCATATAAGTTTACACAATTGTAAGGCCAGTGCGGCTTTTGACAGGCCCAACAAAGGCCCTGTTTGGTAATTCTTTTTTTGTTAACTTTAAAATAATATTAAAAAAAAACTTTAAAAAATGTTGATGTAAAAAAAAAAAAAAATCTAATTTAAAACAAGAAAAAAAAAATCTAAAACTATAATACAAAAAAGAAAAGAGAAGAACCAACTACAATTCTTACTTGCAAAATTAATAAATTACCTTCTATAATCAAACTTATGTATCATGCTATTTTCAAAGGAGTAATTCAAAAAAATATAGTTTTATTTTTAAATTTAGTAAAAGGGCTAGATTTATGTAGGGTTATTTTTTTAAGTCATAATTTGGACCTTAAGTGATAATTTTATTTATTTATAATCATGACTGACGTTGCCAAACGCTGAATTAATTAGAGATTAGTACCATTCAAATTCAATCCAAGCTTTCGCATTCTATGACATCATGAATTGTAATTTACAGAACTTACCAATTAGGCATTTATAAAATTTAATGAAATTAATTTTGGGTAGTATGTTAAGTATTGAACCAGTACATATCGACATTGGATTTGGTAAGTTGTGAGTTAAAAATTCACAATTGATCTTGGTCGTTGGTTTCAAACAGCTGAAAAGTCAAATGTATTAAATGATCTGCTTTTGGAATGGAAATACTTTTCTCCGTTCCTTTGCCAAAATGCATTAATTTCAATTTCTTTTGCGAGCAATCGATTGGGGAAAGCGAAACATTAACAAGCTTTTGGACAAGACCTCTCTTATTTCAAAAAATATTCACTTCTTATCCTTCTTTTCTCTTAATGAATACATTTATGGACATGATCAAAATTTAAATACATTTGACGTAGTGTGATTAATTGAGAATCAATTAATTACTTGAAAAAGATATTTATAAATATGGACAAAATTTAAATACACTTGACGCGATATTTATAAATATGGACAAAATTTAAATACACTTGACGCGATGTGATCAATTGAGAATCAATCAATCACTTAAATTTAATATCGTAATGTTACGCCCTCAACTCAAACCCACCCCAAGTAAAGTAAAGATTATCCATTAGAGCTCTTCCCTCTTCTCTCTCTTTCTCTCGAATTGAATTTTTTTTTGGTAAATTTGTATGAAAAGCTAGACAATATTATTAAGATTTAGCAATATTTTTAAGCATAATTTGAGGATTGAACTCTAGGTTTAAGTTAAAAAAAAAAACAATTAAAGGTGCTATTGCACATCTTTTCAATTTAAAAAACTTCAAGTAAATTTTGTGACATTAACTTAATGAAGTTTTGAATTGGACTGATAAACCATGAATTGATAAAATTTCTACCATAATTTTTGAATTGGACTGATAGCAAAAAATTTTAATTAGGGCAAATTAAGACGAGGAATGAGGTCGACAGTAGATATTAAATATATTCTTATATATGAGTGTGCTGAGGTGGCTCATGGGTGGGAATCCATTAATTTTAAAGCTTAAAAATGGGATAAATATATATGTATATATATATATATATATATATGTAACCCCACATTGAAAACGCAATGTTGCTAAGAAAAGTGGAAGAGTAGGCTTCATCTTCTTTTTTATTTTATTTTATTTTTTAATGTTAGACACCTTGATGAATTGAAAGCAAAAGGTGAAGACTTTTTTTTTATTTTTAATCAGAGAAGGTGACTCATTCAAGGCATGAATCTCCAAAATAATACAAGGTGTGGGCATTTACATAGTATGAAATAAGAAAGTTCTAACAAATTTTATGCCCACTCAAAAAAAAAAAAAAAAATTACACTTGACCATATTCTACTTCTACAATTCACTCCATACATCTACAACAAGCAAACCGAAAACAGAAGCCTTCGGAATTATTCTTTCAAAATTAATACAAGAATCTTAACTTAAATCCCTTAATTAATTAACGAAAATAACAATGATATACAAGTCTACTTTTTATATCCACCTTATAGACATAGTGATGTGTTAAAAAAATAATTAATTGATAATTAAAAAATATTTAATTATTAACGAATCATATTTTTAACATACCACTGGATCTAGAAGTGAGTCTAAGTTTTGGTCAATGCTCATTAATTAATTGGGCATCCTGCAATTCTTCCTTATCTCGCCTTTAGATCCAGTGAGGGGACGAATATCTCCCATCTTAATCATTGCTGCAGCAAAATCAGAGTAGAAGGTTTCGGCATCGGTGCTATATTTTTCGACAAGGGAGTCAGTTGATCCACCATTGTGCAATATTTGATCAGAGTGGAGGAGGCCCTTTTGGTTGATCAAGTTCTTGTAGTACTTATTGTCAAAAAAAGTAGGACTTTGAACGTCTAGAGGTGCCAAATTGTTGTCTCCTGAGCCAGTAGCACTTGGGCAACTCCATTGCCTTGTCTTTGCAAAGGAACTATCAATATTAGTCTCATTATATATGCGATTTCTGAAGTTTGTACACCTTACTTGCCCTATTGTGTGTGCTCCTGTTTCACAAAAGAAGTCATTTTAGGAGAGATATTAAAGATTTTTAAATTGTTACATCTTTTTACTTAAGCTTTTAACAGAGAGAGAGTGAGTACCAGATAGAGTAACCATATCTTTAGCAGAGAGGCCTCTTGCTTTGAATCTTTTGATAAGGCCACTAACGGTAGAAGTAGGAGGTGGGATTACACCACTATTTGCCTTGGCTAAACTAGCAGTTTTAGAATCCCTGCGTCCAAGTTTGACATCCCAACCAGGCCCTCCAAGCTACAATAACAGCAAATAAAATTGCATTTATCCATCAGAACCAAACTTACATGCATGTAACCATCTTGGGTATGTAAAATATGCACAATAAAATTACACTTCCATCTTGGGTATTGAGTTGGTAATTAACAATTAATATGATATCAAAGCAAATAGACTGTGTGATCGAATCTCCCCATTTGCTCGATAATTAAAATATTTACATGTGGTTAGCCTGAAATATAGAGAAGAATATTTCTCTAACTATTAATTTAAACTTTTAGATGAGTAGGCAGTTAATAATAAAATACTTAAAACTTGATGTTTCATAAGAAATACTTACATAAACAGTGGAGTCGCGAGCTGCGATAGCTACAATATCAGCACACGAGACTATATCAGGACAAACTTCTTCCACCTTGGACTTGATATCATCTACTACATTGAATCCCCTTACAGATCCATTATTAGGAAGTGCAGTCTTTTCCCCTTTAAAAGATGAAGTATCATCTAAGAGTATTGATCCATCACAACCCTGTCACCAATAATTAGGTGACCCCATGAAACAGAAACAAGCCTTGTTAGAGTTGGTCTTGAAAAAAAAAAACAAAAACCAAAACTATGGAGAGAATCGGTCAACGTGCATGACAATAGAATAGTACGTTATATGTCTTATGTTGTGGACTGTGCCATCAAGGTTAGTGAACTTGACTTTATTATATGTGTTAGTCATGCGCACGAAATGTTGCCTCATATCCATCATTTTTGTTTCATGACTAGAGTTTGTAGTTTTTTAGCAGGGATGTTACTCTATTAAAATGATAACAAGAGATTATACAAATAAATAAATTACGTATAAAATAATATGGCTTAATATTGGATTTTCACTTTAAATAGAACATTCATAAATATGACTTTATTTTCAAAAAATAACATTACCACATCCTTCCTATAATATTTTATGTATAAAATTTTGGAAGAGTTCTCCTAATAGTAATCATTTGAGTGCATATTTTGTGTTCTAGTGCATGTGCATGTGCATTCGCATTCGTTTCTTTAAATTTGACATAGGGTGTAACGATAGAAATTTTTGCGTGTAAAGGACAAATATCAAGTGGTTACTAATATGTAGAGTATTTAAAAGGTAATACAAAGAAAGGGCATTGTATATGTGATTAGTCGAAGGTAAATATCCTTTTAGATTGTAATAATTTTTCATGAAAGTGATTTAAAGCATATGTGTTAACCATATGACATTCTTTTTGTAATGAAAGTATTTGTGGTAGCACAAGAAAATTATTTGTAAAGGTATTTTACACTATTACAAATATTTGCAACTTGCCATCACAAACATTTCAGTTGCAAAAAAAGGTTTATTTGGGATGAAAAGAAGAGAACATTTACATTGACGAAGCAGTCATGGAAATGGAGGCGAAGGAGAGAAGCACCCATGCGCTTTTCCTTCGACACAGCAGCTTCAACCACTGATTTCACAGTACTGAACAAATTGGGGCAAGTCTTGCAGTAGAAATCAGTGGAAAGTTGAGCAGAGGAGGTACCCATTAAGAGCACAAACATGAGGAATGTGACATTAATCACCATTGAAGAAGAAGCCATCTTGGGAAACAGAAGGTGGTAGACAGACACTAGAGATGAAATAAAGTGTGTTGAGAAGAAGATAGTTCCAGGGTTGCATATATATAGAAGAACTCAAGGGCACGTTTGGCACAGCCAGATGACCTAATCTTCTAGATTAAATGCATGGTTTAACATTTCTACATAGCTCTAGAACAAAATTAATATTACTCCCACAAGAAAGAGTATGAGAAAATTATTTGGTGCTATTAGGAACTACTGAGTCAATGGCCGTAAGAGTTCACACGATTACTTGTTTTTCACATTTAGGAATGAATCATAGACATGTTGGGTAGCTGTGGATCTTGATAAATATGTTTAGAGTCAATGTATTTTTGATATTCCAATATTCTTCTATATTTTCTTAATACTATGTATTTATAGTTAAATTTTATACATTTTGCATAATATATATATATATATCTTCTATATTTTCTTAATACTATGTATTTATAGTTAAATTTTATACATTTTGTATAATATATATATATATATATATTCCTATTTAAATTATAGTGAAACCACGTCGATTGGGACGTAACTCTATTATAAGGTTTATAATTTTTTGTGTTCTTGTATGTTTACTTTAAATTTTATTTTATTTCTAATTAATTTTATTATTATTTTTTAAAGTAGTTGGAGCAATGCCTCATGGATAGGTAAATAAATTAAAGCAAGGTAGAGGTAGTAGAGCTTTGTATTAGTTAATTGATTCATATTTGATGACAGTAGACAAAGTCCAACAACACGTTTACGTGAAACGAACTGATGGAAAGTCTTACGTAGTAGGTACCAATATTTTATCAATTTGTGGTCCATTTCGGTATCAATGTTTATTTGTTTATTTATTTGGGTTACAGTAGAGACGCCATGCAAACATGAGTTGTTGAGCATTAGCATACATGCAATTAAATTATAATAAATTTACTTCTAAATGAAATTTTTATCTGAAGCACCATTTTGAATGAGTGGCTGAAATATGATGGGATTTGTTTGATAATAAACCTTGTCTAAGGGATAAATTATACTTATTTTTTTTAAATTTTAGAAAAAATGTAACAAATTTCATAGTTTAATACAATTATATCACTGCAATATAGATAAAAATAATAATATTGTATATTTTATTTTTTATTCGTATGTATGCAATATATCGTTTTACATTAATTACAGCATTTCCATCAAACTAATTATTTTTATTTTTTAGTTAAATCATTAAATTTCAACACCATCAAACTAGTTATTAAGTTAATTATTTTAGTTTTAGTAAATTTAACTCAACAAATATAACTAGTGGTTTGGGCTAGTTAAATATTAAAAATTATTACTTTTGATATTTTGGAAGTAGTTGGGTAAAGTTTATAAAAATAATTTTAAATTAAAACTAATAAAAATAATGTTTAAATAGCATGTGAACAAGATAGAGAGTTTGTTGGATAGTGTATTTAAAATCTACATAAAAAAATAACTTTTAAATTAAATTATAATAAAAATTTTAAAAATTTGATGAGGATGCTTTTCACACTTGCGCGCTTTTGTAGTTATTTAAAAAAATTTAGACTTATATTTTTTCAAATAATTGTAGGGGAGGTTAACTAGGTATATGCACCAACTATTTGAGATAAATTGATATTTTAAAAAATGGATGATTGAAATCAAATAGAAGATACAGTTTTGTTAAGATTTTCATACAAATAAAATCATTCAAAAATATTTCAAGTAATTATATTTACAAAATTATTTATAATTCATCAACTGAAAACTTTCAAATTATTTTTAAAATTTAAAAATAAAATTACTATAAAAAAAATCTTATAAATCTGAATGAAAAAAGAACGCCAATTAATTCAATTACGTCAATCAATAATCTATTTTAATACATAAAGTGAAAACTCACTACAACATATAAGAGTTTTATAGAACAAATTTTTTAGTCTCTAAAAGTAAAATTTTTGTTACAAAAGACTTTTTTTTTTTTTCTTTTTTTTTTTTGAGCGGCAAGCAAAAAGGAAATACATTAAAGATAAAAGATACAAAGCTTGGGATGGGCAACAAGGCTGTGCATGTGTAGCGACAACCTCCCAAGAGAGTTAAAGAGATTCCAACTCCAAATGCCCTAAAAAATAGTAAATAAAATAATGAATAATGACAACCACTTGAAGGCAAAAGCAGACACCCTACACCAGACCACCTCAACAATATCTAATTTGCTTAAAGTCATAGAGGAAATCATAAATGGAGAATTGAGACTCCTTGGATGCAGCCTTTAACTAGATAGCAAGTCTAGTGATAATAAGCTCCTGTAGTTCTAGCATGTTAGGTTGAGAGCTTTCAATATTTCTGTGCTTTCATATGGACCAAAGAGCCACCAGTGGTATTGCACGCCAAATTCTCCTTTCTTCTTTATTGCAGTAGTGCCCTGCCCACCATTGTAACAGTCCTTCGATGGATCTTGGTACCATCCAAACAGCCCTTCACCACTGCAGCAGGCCAAACCATAACCTCCACACCAAAGGGCAAAGAAGTAGTACATGTTCACTTGTTTCTTACTAAGATTTACAGAAGATGCTCATGGTGGATGCAGATCAATTTAAAATACCAACCCGATACAAGAACACTAATGTTTTGACCCTACACTTTCATGCAAGCCAACCAAAGAATTACACTTTGGGTGAAATATATTTGATCCACACCAATTTATTGGTGCTATCATTACATGCAAAAATAAGATTAGTATGATTGTAAAAAACAGAGACAAGAGACTGGCCTGGCTTTGCTACTAACCACACAACACTATCTTGGACCTCCAGATTTAATTCACGTGCTACTGATAAGGTGCCAATAAGTCTATGTAATTCCTCATTTTCCCATTCAAATAGAAGCCTCCTAAAATTGAGTAGCCAGTTCCCAGAGGAGTTTGAGAGATCCACAAAGTCTTTGAGTGATCCCTCTTGATCAGAGGACAAACAGAAAAGCCTTGGGAAGTCATCTTTGAGACAGATATTTGCACACAATCTATCATGCCAAAACCTGATTCTGCATCCATTGCCCACTCTTAATTGCAGGTTATCAACATAGTATTGCAAGAGAGAGTCCTTATGTTCCACTGCTGACATTATGTCACTGCAAAGTTTAGAAAAATTGATGCCAGAGATCAGAGATGGAAGCCAGTGCCCTTCCGAAAGTCTATACTTGCTGCATATGACTCTCTTCCATAACGAGTTATGTTCATAGGCAAACCTCTACCACCACTTGAGAAGTAAACACACATTCACATCTCTAATTCTTCTAATACCCAGACCACTTTGATTGATGATCATGGTAACCTCTGACCATTTCACTAAGTGTATTTTCCTCTTCGAATCTGGGCCATCCCATAAGAATGAAGCTTGAATTTTGTAAATCTCTCTAGCTATTCCTTCAGGCAACCTGAACAGAGACAAGAAGTAAATTGGTAAACTTGATAGAACTGCTTTCACCAAGGTCAACCTTCCTGCAAAAGACAGAAACCTTTTTTTCCAACCAGCAAGCCTCATTTTGAACTTTTCAATGACAAGTTGCCATGTCTCCTTTCTCTTAGGACGAGCACCCAGTGGTAAACCCAAGTACCTAAGTGGTAATTTTTGAGTCTTTCAATTCAGCACGGAGGCAAATTCATCAAGAGCAGAGGTAGAAATATTTAACCCACAAACCACACTTTTATGGTAATTGATTTTAAGCCCTGATGCTATTTCGAAACATCTGAGAATTCTTTTCAAGCTAAGAACTTCTGATAGATCAGCCTCACAGAATAATAAAGAATTATCTGCAAATTGAAGATGGGAGAGTTGAACATGGTTATTTCCAATGATTACCCCTTTAAGCAACCTCAACTCCGTAGCTCTCAAGAGGAGTATATTGAGTGCTTCTTCAATTAGGTTGAATAGAAATGGTGATAAAGGGTCACCTTGTCGAAGACCTATCTGAGGACTAAACTCCTTGGTTGGTGAACCATTGACAAGTATTGAAAACCTTAAAGATGAAATACATTCCTTAATCCAAGAGATCCATTTGGAGCCAAACCCAAAATTTGCAAGCATTGAGTAAAGGAACCTCCAATTGATGGAATCAAAAGCCTTTTCAAAATCTAGTTTGAGTAACAGTCCTGCTTTCTTAGATTTGTGCCATTCATCCACAACCTCATTGGCAATCAACACTCCATCAAAGATACTCTTACCACCCAAGAAAGTTGATTGTGCATCTCTAATTACAAGAGGCATAACTTTTTTAAGTCTAGTTATAAGAATTTTAGAAAGAATTTTGTACACTGAACCAACCAAGCTGTTAGGTCTGAAATCCTTTAAGGTGACTGTTTTTTCCTTCTTAGGGATGAGAGTAAAGAATGTACTATTTAAACCTGAGGCCAATCTGCCATTGATATGGAATTCTTTCATAAAGTTAAGCACTTCACCTTTAATCTCTTTCCAATGCTTCTGAAAGAACATGAGATTGAATCCATATGGACCTGGGGCTTTATTCCCGTTGCAATCTCTTATGGCTGCCCAGACCTCCTCCTTAGTAAACTCTGCTTTAAGCATGTAGAATGATTCACTAAGCCTTATGCTCTTGAACTCACCAGCAAGTACTGGTCTATTCACCCAATCCTCTTTGAAATGATTGTAAAAATGGGTCCACACCTCATTTCTAACTGGTTTGGCTCCTCAAACACCACCTCCCCTACTGTGATGGAGTGGCGAGTGTTTCTATTTTGTCTGCTGCTAGCCATGACATGGAAGAATCTAGTATTCCTATCACCTTTCAGACTCCAGTCTAGCCTTGATTTTTGTAGCCATTCCCATTCCATCTTCCTGCTTAACCTCCACACTTTTGGCCTTTTCTCTCTTTGCAGCTTCAATTTTGCCTCAAGCAAAGGCCTAGTTTCAGCTACCAGATCAAGTTCATGTAGGTCAGATTCAGAGTCTTGCAATTGGGATGCAACATTGCCATATACCTCTCCAGTCTATTTTTTTAATGCCAACTTAAGGGCATGCAATTTCCTTTGCAAAATGTAGCCAAAAGTCCCAAGAACCTGTGTTTCCTTCCAAGTTTTCTCCACTAAAGGGACATGGGTAGAA